ATTTATCATTCTCAAAAAAACAATTTCTAGGTAATTCAACTCCCTGAAATTCATTTTTTTCTACCCAAATTTCATCTTTACAATTAAACGGACCCTAAATCTAAACCAAAACTGAAAGGGAAAATTTCAAAGATAGGCTCATATTCGAAATTAAATCAAAACATACTGGACTTAAATTTTAATCTCATTTATATTCACAGCATCACAATTTTGTTAATTCCGGCCATAGCATGAAAGATATGTCTAATATCGGCTGAATTTTGAAAAGCATGATCTGACTTAAAACAAAATTTTACATTTTATGTTAAGTTCCATCGGATGTGATATGATAAGTTCCGCACAATAATTGCACAGTAAAAGTGATATCTTAGAGTGCCATATGCCCACTTGTGACAGTTTGACTTCCATTAATTTTTATTACATTACATTTTATTTTTCTCTTTCTTATTTTTAACTACACAATCTTTTATAAATAATATTACATATAAATCAAAAAAATTCTTCTTTTTTAATCCCTCATTTTTTCAAAAAAATACTATTCCAATCATTTTCATTTCCCCAAAACGGGAGCTGAGATGAACCAAATGTGTAGTAGCATCCATAAAATCGAGCATGACCTAGCCGATATAGAGCACAAGGAAGCAAATAAGTCAACAAACTACGTGTCGTATCTCACAATTCATCCTAGAATACGCCCTAGGTGCAGAAATATGACTGCAATTTACTGAGTTTGATCCCAATTTTTTAAATGTTATTTTTTAAAAATTTATTTTCAATCACATACTTCATAGAGTTTACACGTTTATCAACTTTTCAACGACATATTAGAGCCTCTTTGATGTAGCTAAAAATACATTTTAAAATAATAGATTGATGGAGAATGCATGACTAAAAAATAAAGAAAAAATTTGAATATGAGTGTAAATTTATTTTATTGAAGAATTTATAATTGGAAAAAAAAAGTTTGGAAAAAATAATGATCAAACAAGGGATTATTTATTTTTATTTATCATCAAAATCTACTAAAACTCTGATTGTAACTAAACCAAACGGGGCTAAATAATGAAGCAAATCAATTGTTTAGGTTCTTTTAGTCATGGTCTACATTTTTATTTTTCAAAGTTAGATAGACCTAAATAGCTCGTGATATGACACGGTTTCCTGCATATTCCATCCACGCCTCTAAATTCTAAGAATAATGCTATTTAGTACTGTTAGTGTTAAACATCGTCTAGATAACATCACTATTGCTATTAAATTACAGGTTCAATTATATACAAAGAATTATGATTCATTTAATATGATCAATGATATTTTGAAGACTAGGTCGATATTCAATATCATTGATGTTGGATAGAATTACTCAAATCCTAAATAAAAATTGTCACGATGGTTATAGCCTATTCTGTTTTCCTTTTAAAGCACTCCAAATATTTCCGTGCCTTAAGGCTTTTTGATTTCTTGTTATACAGTCGATTACTTAATTATACTCATATTGTTTTTCACCTAATAACGCACTTCAATTAATTATTAATTAGACTAGGTCAAAATCGCCACGAAAAGCAGGGCACTGATAGGGAGAGATGGGGGACCATCCTTATAATAAGTTAGCAAATATTATCGTTCTTAGGATCCTGAACATGTTATTGTCAATAAGTTTAAGCTCATAATTAACTGATTAATTAATAATTAATTGGATTTTGTTGAGAATGCAGATTTTTAGCTAACTTGGTAGGGTGGTTGGGAGCCCTCTTGGTGCATAAGTAAGCAACAACATGTATAAGCATATTAACGGAGATTTACCTCCCTCATTGTAGGCACAATGCACAGGCAGCTCTTATTCCATAATCTGTTGGGGTACATCCCGAAATTTACTTCTCTTACAAAACTTTAGGAACGGGGTGGTGAGAACTCTCAAAATTGGGGTTCAACATTTATATTAACGGAGAAATAGATAAGCCAACGAGATGCCGACATAAGCAATAATAGTTTTCTATGAAATAGGAATTGATTAGATATAGAGTGTTAGGTGAGATAAATTGCTCGTCCCACTAACAAGTCAAACAACGATTTTCATACTTTGAATAGCACAAGTTAATTCATGAGCTCATCGGCTCATGGTGATTCGAGCTGAGATAGCTCGACTTGCCCCATTAATACCCTCAATGAATACCTAGAAACTTAAATTTTTGACTTTAAAGGGTCCACTCTATATAATTCTGTTGACTTCACAGATAGAATAAAAACGTTGTTATGCATCATGAATTCATAAAACAAATTTATTTACGCCATGTATATTAAGCATGATCACTACAATTTTTCCTTGTATTTCGATGTTTCAGCTTTTAAATTAGATTCTATTAAATTATAGAATTGTGAAATTATCAAGTCATGCCCATAAACAATTTTTATATAAAATGTATAATCTAGAACCTAATTATTATTAAATCGTGGCTAGTAAATAAACTAACTGCTTGGACTCATATATAAATAGTGTCACTAAAGTGTGGCATTTTACATGATATAAGGTTACGTTGATTAAGATGGATATTTACATCCTTATGGTATGTCGTTAGTTTCCATGATAGAGGATGTACATTTGTTGGTGAGTTTACATGTTACATTGTTGCACAATAAGTGGTGAAATGTACGTCAAATGACTGATAAACTCCCAAAAATGCAAATCAAGAGATTTGCACCACAATTACACGAGTGAATGAAATTCTTATAATTTGTTGATTATAAGTGTATATACAATTTATGATCGAGTACGTCAAATTTGTACAATAGTTAAAAACACTAATATTTATCTTGTATTAGTATAATATGGCAGTCATCTATATCAAGAAGTCATACATCAATTATACTTCTAACATGTTGCACACTTCTTTTTAAAATTAGTCTCGATTTAATGCACCGGTAAAATATTAAGACATTTAACGAGGCATTTGATTCCAACCACTTCAAATTTTCAAACACGCAAAACTTGTCTGATCTTGTATTTTTTTTTTTAAATATATATTCAAAAACAAAAGTTACACTTATAACATAAAACTCAAAACGTAAATTTGACATTTTGAGCTTTTCAGTGAAAATGTTGAAAACACTCAAAACATGGGAAATAACCATTTAAATAAATTTTATTTAAATAAAATTCTACAAATTTAAAATACTTAAAAGCAAAAATATAAAATTCTGATAGAATAAACTTCTAAATTTTTGGGAAAAAAATTGAAAAATAAATTCTAAAAAAATAAGAATTTCAAAAAATAAAATCTAAGATCCTAAAAAATAGTATTCTATAATCCTAATAAATAGAAATTCTGAAAAAATAAAATTCTAATAAATTCTAGAAAAAAAATAATAATTCAAACTCTTATTAATTCTGCAAAAATTTCTGGAAAATATATTTAAATGAATACCGATAAAAACTCTCCGTTTAAGCGCGCGTGCATAGACGCACACTTTTGTAGCAGAAAAATATTTTAAAATTCACTAACTTTAAATTGTATATAGCGGACTTCTAAAGAGGCTGTAATAAGAATGGCAAATTGAAACCTCATCTTTTAAAGGTTTGGGCCATATTTGTCCTTTTTGTAAGGACCCCTAACTTGCCTCATGGAAAATAAAAAAACTTTTAAGGCCAGTCGAAACTACAAGAGCTTATAAAATTTCACCTATGACCCATGTAATGACTCACATTCAACAATTAAGCGTCTTCTCTTGATAATATATTAATATAAAATCGTTATATTTTACAGAATAATCAAATTATGGTAAAAAATTTCACAATTTACTATTATTTTTTTTGTCAAAATTCCAAACAAAACGTGTTTTCTTCTTTTCTGTTTTTAGAAAACGGCTTTTTTTTTTTTTTTTTTAAAATTAACAAATCGACTTGGCTATGGAATTGTTACGAGATCGGGCTCGGAGATACTCGAGATCTTATGACAGTCCTAGTCGAGTTATCCTGAGCTATGAGTTTGTTCGTGTCGTAGATATTGAGCATTACGAGCTCATAAGCAAGGGGAATAAATATGTTCTGTCTGAGCACATGCTAGATTGGGTGATTGGGCTACAGCTAAGGTGCAGAAAGCCGTGGACGGATTGTACACATATGTATATTCCAGTGATCGCGAACTCACTGTTTTTCAGTGGAAATCGTATTTGCTGATTCCACTATGTATGTGTACTACTCTGATCATAGCTGTCTGATACAAAGTCAACTGGAGCAAATACTGGAGCCAATGGCTGTGATCGTGCCCATGATGGCTAGTCATGCGATGATTCGAGTAAATGACAGATTAGCCATTGTGCGGAACATGACAACGGCAAGACAAGAAAGATTGTAAGGATTTAAAACTTTTTAATTTTAAGATTTAATTTTCAGTTATATGTTATCGAATTAATATATTCTTCTTCGGTTGCAGAGGCAACTGTGGCTTATTTGCAATAAATTATATAGAGTTTTTTAGCATTGGTCGCAATGTTGATACAATAAATCAGTCTTGGATTGATATGTGGAGGCATAAATTAGCTTGCAACTTGTATGAATAAAACTGTGATCCTTAGTGTATTGTATATTATTTTATTGAAATGTAAATGTTGTTTACTTCAGTATGATTCGTGTTGTAATGTAATAATTTTTTTAAATATTTAATTAACATTTTCATAATTTCATTGGTTGAGTTGATGATCCTCTAGTCGGAACCTTCTCATATATGTAGATCATGCTCAAATTTTCTCATAAAAAACTAACAACTACACAATTCTGTTAGATGAGTCGAGAGATACTTGTATTGTGACCTTTTCATACGTGTACACGGTACTCATTTTCTCATCTAAACTTAACAACTACACAATTTTGTTTGATAATTTGAGAGATACTTGTGTTGAGGATATTTTTTGACGCGTGCATGATGCTCAAATTTTCTCATTAAAATACTCCTCTTTTCAATTCATATTCAAGAATATGATTGATACGATTGATTTGTGCGCCTCTCTTATACTTTCTCATATCCTCTGTTCTTTGGATACAACTGGATTATTTTATGGACACAATTTCATTAGATTAGTCGAGGAATTCCTAACTATTGGATAATTGAGTCGAGAGATACTTGTGTAAGAAACTTGCGAGACGTGTATACGGTGCTTAATTTGTTTATCAAATCTCGGCAAATGCATAATTTATTTATCAAATCTTGAATCAAGACATTTTACTTTCTCTAATGTCATTATAAATCTCGTGCAGTCAAAGTGTACAAAACATTACTAAACACAAAAAGCTCATCATTTGAACCATCGCTCATTTTGGTTTAGGTACTGAATGTTTGACCTCGTTTCTCTCTCACTCTAATATATGTAGATATATATTTTTATGAATCATTGGTAGGAGTGGGGTATAATTTCGTACATACTAGATATTGATTTGGAGGTTTTAGATACTTGATGCATGAGTGGAAACGATTATAGATCGGAAATGGCGGATGTATACGGCGATGGAAGTGTTAGAGTGACGCCGGAGCTGAGTTCCGACGAAATGAGTAGCAATGCGCTGCCGAGCATGGCCCATACGGTGACGCCACTGGCAGCGTCGGCGTCGTTCAAGGAGGTGAGCAAAGGTTCCTCATCGCGGCGGAGGGCGTCGCTCCGTCCTAGTATGGACTCCGATGACTTCATAAACCTGCTCCACGGCTCGGATCCGGTGAAGTTGGAGCTCAATCGCCTCGAAAATGAAGTAAGAGGTCAGTATCTCCTTCTGGATCCACTAGGTTTTTGTCGTGCTTTAATGTGAAACGCTGTCGTTTCATAGGAATTGCTGAAAAATAAATGGAGATATGAACTAAGGCCGTTTTAATGTGTGAAAAAATGGCAGTTTGATTAGAATTTTGTGGTTTGCAGATAAGGAAAGGGAATTGGGAGAAGCGCAATCCAAGATCAGGGCATTGAGGTTGTCAGAGCGCCTCCGTGAAAAAGCTGTTGAAGAGGTTCCATTGTTTCCTATTTTTCTTTTAAATTTTAAATTTACATTTTATGATGTTTAATTGATTTTTATGCTGTAAATGGTTAGTTTGTGTTTGTACAATGTTGTGTACGGACGAGGGAAATTCAGCATTGATAGAAAGGTTATTGGCGCACAGATAGATGAATACTTATATTATATAATAAAAATATTGATTTTTGACATAATTGTGGTGGAGAAGGACACAAAAAGGAATAGGAGCATAAGTAGTGCATGGTAATATGAAAATTGAAATTTTGAAGATATCTTTAGTTTTGTAGGCAATGTGGAGTATAAGAGTTTTAGTGCATGAGGTGAAGCATAATGAATGCGCAGAGTTAGTGAGAAACTAAAGAAACAAAGGAAATGACAATAACGTTTTTTCCTTTCAGGATTTACAAAGTAAACTAGCACTTAAATGCAAAAAATGGTTACCCTGATTGTATTTCTGAGTGAAGAAATAGGCTGCAATGGATGACGTATATTGTGAATGGATGACGTATATTATCAGAGAATCTTCGCAACTGAATTTAAGTTTAATTGAAGTGTAACTTTAATAGACTTTGATCTATGTGACATGGAGAATCTCATTTATTTATGGCTTCAGCCTTTTAACACGTGAGCTACATCTCATTGGCAAGAAAATAGTTTCTAATAATAAGAGAATTGAAAATATATTATTCCTTTAGTGCTGATTTCCACTTAATTACCTAAGTAGTATCAAATTATCAAGAAAATAATTTCGTTCTATATATATTTATCACCTGTTCAAAGAAGTCTAATGGCAAATGTAAGATTTAGAAAGCAAGTCTTATTCTTTATCAGTGTTGTTCTTCTTATGCCTATTTGTTCAATTTTTCATGTATCCTGCCAATTACTAACTCTTCAAATTAATGTTGATTCTCTTAGTAAATTTCAGTCTGTTAGTCGATTTTAGCTTTAGGATAAATTTCGTTACGGATTGGAAATATTAAGCCGATCCATTTAAAGGGGCACTCGGTTTTAAACTGACCGTGTTCTTTAAATATTGCTTGTCTGTCATCCTGTATTTTATGTACATTCTGCATGCTAAATTTGTTTGGACGTTTATTGAATACATCTCTAGCATCTTGTAAGGCTCACGTTTCAGTTATAAATACTGTCATTTTTGGGAAGTGATATCTTTGAAAGGGGCAGTAGTAGAAGACATGTTGCAAACTCTCCCATGATTCTGTCTGTGGAAAAAGAAAAAAAATCATACCATTTGTTTCGGTATATCTAAAATCTAAATTATGAATCTAAGTTTACTTTTTCATACTTAAGGCACATTGTAAAATATTCTCCTTCCCCCTCCCCAATATGAAACAAAAACGATGAAACTGTGAGCTTTTTCTCTGGTACTAAATGTAGTGTTTTATGATGCTTACATTGTTTGATTTTGGTTATCTTTGTAACCAATCAACATGGTCTTCACTTTCTTTGTATGCTCCTGTTCTCTTTTAAATTTTCCCTCTAATTTGTGAGATGCATGGAGTGATCCTCCCGAGTTATAGTGAAAGCTGAGATCTCCTCTCTTTACTGTAGCTCACGGAGGAATTGAAAAAGGTGGAGAAGAAGCTGAAGCAAACAGAATCTCTTCTTGAAAGCAAGGTACCTACTGGAGCTTTCCTTTTTCTTAGTAGATTTTGATGACAGTGCTAATGATTTATTGTCAACAGAATCTTGAAATTAAGAGAATCAATGATGAGAAAAAGGCCTCCATGGCAGCTCAGTTTGCAGCAGAAGCCACTCTTCGAAGAGTTCATTCTGCTCAAAAGGATGATGATATGCCTCCAATTGAAGCCATACTTGCACCCTTGGAGGCTGAGCTCAAGCTTGCTCGACATGAGGTTTTTGTTGAATTGTTTCTTTCTTTGATGTCTGCTTATATGTCTAAACTGGAAACCTCATTTTGAGAAGAGTTCCTTACTGTTGCCTTTTTTTCTCCTTTTAGATTGCAAAACTGCAGGACGATAACAAAGCATTGGAACGACTCACTAAATCGAAAGAAGCTGCTCTGCTTGAAGCAGAGAGAACTGTGCAAGTAGCATTGGCAAAGGCTTCTATGGTGGATGATCTCCAAAACAAGAACCAGGAATTGATGAAGCAGATTGAAATCTGTCAGGTATTGCAATCATGCCAACTCTTTCATTTTTAAGGGCCAATAAAAGTTGTAATTTATATTCTTCCTATTTTCCCCCTTTTCCTGACTTTAGATTTAATCTAACATATGCGTATCAGGAAGAGAACAAGATTTTGGATAAAATGCATCGTCAAAAGGTTGCAGATGTTGAAAAGCTTACCCAAACTGTGCGTGAGCTAGAAGAGGCTGTGCTTGCTGGTGGTGCAGCTGCTAATGCTGTACGAGACTACCAGCGGAAGGTTCAGGAGATGAATGTAATACGCCACAGGGATCTTCATGCTTAACTTGCATATAAAGATTGGTCAGAGAGTCTGATACAACCTACCAAGCGTGACATTTTTAATTTATGTTTTTCAGGAACAAAGAAAGACTCTTGATAGAGAGCTAGCTCGTGCAAAAGTAACAGCAAACAGGGTGGCAACTGTGGTGGCAAACGAATGGAAAGATGCTAATGACAAAGTGATGCCCGTGAAACAATGGCTAGAAGAAAGAAGGTGCTTGCAAGTATGTTTCTTCCCTTGCTATCTGGCTTCTTCTGTACTATGATTACTGATGGTTTATTACTCGTTATTTTCACCAGTTCTTGTATTAATTAAAGGCTTTTATCACAGAGTGAGATGCAGCAACTACGGGACAAGCTTGCTATAGCTGAGCGAACTTCAAAATCTGAAGCCCAGTTAAAAGTAGTTGGCTTATTATAGGGTGTATCTACCTGATCAGTTAGTTTCATTTTATTGTAATAATTAAGCTCTCACTTTGTCCTCCAGGATAAATATCAATTGCGATTAAGAGTTCTTGAAGAGACTTTGAGATCACCAAACACGGCTGGTCGCATCACACCAGATGTAAGAAGTACTAGCAATGGTCCTTCACGTCGCCAATCACTGGGTGGAGCTGAAAACATTTCCAAGTTGACTTCTAATGGTTTTTTACCCAAGAGATCACCTTCCTTTCAGTTGAGATCTTCTGGGAGCAGTACTGTGTTGAAGCATGCAAAAGGGACCTCAAAGTCATTTGACGGTGGCTCGCGATCTTTAGACAGGGGCAAAATCCTCTTAAATGGACTAGGATCAAATTTCAAACAAAGCCAGTCTTGTGATAGAACTGAGGAGAGCAAGACAGAAGACAGTACTTGGAAAACGAACCAAGAGGAAAACTCCAATGATGCACAAGTTACAGAAACAGAGGATACTGTACCTGGGTTGTTATATGACCTGTTACAGAAAGAGGTGATTGCCTTGAGGAAAGCTGGTCTTGAAAAGGACCAAAGCCTTAAAGACAAGGATGATGCAATTGAGGTTGATTTCTTTCTTAGTGATGTTTTGATTACCTTCTATTCGCTTCTTCTCAAAACCTTGTCTTTCGTGTTGATCAGATGCTATCAAAGAAGGTAGAAACTTTAACGAAGGCCATGGAGATTGAGGCTAAAAGGATGAGAAGGGATGTAGCTGCTATGGAGAAGGAGGTGATTGCCATGCGTACAGAAAAAGATCATGAAAATAGGGTCAAACGGCTTGGAAATTCTAAGAGTTCACTTAACAGTTCTCAGTTACTCCCTGGAAGGTATACCTCCTCTCTACAATTTTCTGCCAACTATTCCTTATTGGTTCGGTTTTTATTCTAATTCTCATTAGTTTAATAGTTGTGTTTCTTATAAAAGTTTATACTTCAAAGATGATTACCAGTTTGTTTAGTGTCAAGCATGCATGGAGGTTACGAGCTCCTGACATTTTTTGTCTTTTTTCTTGCTTTGCCATCCTATAGGGAGGGGTAGGAGCAGCAATATATTTATTTATGACAGACTAACTTTTAAATTATAATTTCATAAAACACGTGCCTCCATTGCTTCAATCTATGCAGTAATAACTGATTGCTATGTCCTTGGAGTCTGTAGGTTCAACTTTCTACATTTTAAAATATCTCCATACCCTTGCTTTTTTGCTATCTTGCTCACCTGCTGTTTGTTCTCTCGCATTCTTAGTGGATATATGGTGGACATACCTTTGTAAGGAAAATTAATTTATTAATTGAAACTCTTATTTTTCGTTCTTGTTTCATTTCTGTGGTAATATATTTGTTAATGTGATGAACGTGAGTATGAAACTTAACTTATGTTTGACAGTTTGAGTAAGTGCAAACCTGCCATATTTGGTGCCAAATCACACAACTCCGAAGAAAGCTTTTATGAAAGTGGTTGGAATATCTGATTGTTTTGCTAATTGTGGAAGGGTGTAAACAAGTAAATTTTGAAATGAATATGCAGTGCAAGGTTTACTGAAATTTAATCTATAATTTTATAAGAACGGGTAATTAATGGAGGCAAGTCTTAGGAATCCAAACATATTTAATCAATCTTAGTGGTGGTCGTTCTCTGAACAAGATGCTGCATGCACCTACTGGACTGGTTTACACATTGCTATTACTTGTATGTTGTCCAAAGTATTTCTTTACGTATTGAAATGTGTGTCCCGTGAGTCCATGTTAGTTAAGAAAAAAGGATTTCACGTTGACTTTGTATCATGCAAAATCTGTAAATCTCAAAATTACCATGTCTGATTTTTTTCATTTTAGGACTAGTTTCTGATAATACTACTGGGTCTCATTCAACTGTCATTTTGTGTAGGAGTGCATCAAGAAGTGGGTTGACACGCAGCACTCAATGACACATAGTCCAATTGTTGCAGTAGAGATCTGTTCTGCATGGTCTTTTCGTCCTTGCCATTTTCCAAAATTTACCCCGTTTTTGTACAATCGCAGCAAGCATGCCAATGGCTCCTCGCTTGAGTTGAGAGAACCAAATGGATAACATTGGAAAACAAACCGGTATGCTTGTAACTTAGACTATGATCCCCGTGATTAAGCCGTGGATATTGAAGTCGAGCTAACCTTTTGTCGAAATCAGTGGGTGGAAGTTGTGACAGTATAGGTAGCTTGGTGGCATGTACTTCTCTTGTTTCAGTTTTTTGTAGTCTATATTTGTAATCTGCTGATATAGTGATCGTTATTATTGAGGTTTGTCAATATTTTTGTAATCAGATTCTCTTCAATGTCGAAACTGTTCACCGTTAAAACTTTAAAGTAGCTTGCATTTGAAGATATTAGTAGTTAAATTTAGATATTGGTCAGGTTAAAGGGGTTGTTGATTCTGTTAATGGTGGTTGGGTTCTAGCGACAAGTGCCACCTAAAGTTCTGCTTTAAATCCACTCTATCTATATATTTATACAATAATGCTATTTGTACGCTATTTCCCTCACATTCATGTTGACATTTCCTTTGTTTTCAAAATAGTGGGAGGAAAAAGTTTTTTTGCTTTTAAACCATTCAATAATGTGTTATCACGTGGCATGATGTAGAGATGTCAACAAGTCTCGAGTTAAGTCAGTTTGCAAGCTGAAACTCGAAGCTTGGGTTTGACTTGAGTAAAAATGGTTCAAGCTTTTTTTTTGCCTGAGTTGAGCGAGCTTTTTTTTTTGGTCAAAAAATTAAAGCTTAGCTCGAGCTTAGTTGACTTATTCTTCTTCTTCTTATTTATTTATTTATTTTTACTTCAATACAAATCTAACTTTTGTTTTTTTAAAGAATTTAAAATTTGTGTAATTTATGCAAATTATAAATTAAATAAAAGTGACAACCCTCATATTTATAATCAAAAAAATATAATCGTTTCAACTAAAATTGAAATTCATTGTAGCTGCCTATTTAATTTTGCTGCTTGTTACGTAGCTGCCTGCATAACATCGTTGCCTTAAACAGGCAGCAACGATTTGCTGGGAGCATTTTTCAGTTTTTTTTTTTAATTAAAGTTTTGTTGGCAGTTCTTTTTTTTTTCTTTTTTCTTTTTAAATTCTATTTTCGTTACAGGCCAAAAATAGCCCATGTGGCTCGGGCTCAAGCTGACTCCTTAGAAATGGTGCTCGGCCCTAGTCTCAATTCGGGTTTTCCGAGCCACTAGCCAAGCCGGCTATGGCATTTTTAGATCGAGCCACGAGTTTTCTGAGCCAGGAGACAAATTTACGCGCCCAACACAATTTAAAAGATTATGTACATGTAGCACGATTGATATTTTTATTATCCAAATCTTGGTCGTCGTTTGTAACAATCATGTTACATGTGCATCATATTTGATATCATTGTTTATGTTATGCCACATGGCAACATGCCATTAGCCAGTTAAAAAAAAATTTCCGGTTCACAATTTTTTGAAAACACATTTAGCCATGTGGCACAATATACACATGGCTAATGGTATGTTGCCATGTGGCACAAAATATTTTTGTAAACAATGAAGCGCACACTTAGCCCCCCATTTGGCCTCCATTTTTTTCAAATTTTAATGTTTAGAATGGTATTTTTTTGAAAAATACGAGGTTGAAAAAGAATAAAAATTTTTTGATTTACGAGTAATATTATTTTATGAAAAATTGTGTTGTTGAAAAATTGTGTGGTTGCAAAGGATTTTGAGATAGGGACGTTAAATAAGTTGGGTCAAACTTTTCTTCGCCTATTGTCAGTTCACTTTGACCCACCATGCGAGCTGGCTGTGCTAACATATGAGATGAGCCAAGCTTAAGCTAGCTTGATTTCAAATTTTGTAAAGCTTGTCTGACCAACTTGTCGTTTAATTTGGTGAGTTGAGCTTTTGCTCACAAGCCACTTGTGACTTATCTATCTTTTTTAAATTGAAATTTTCCGAATTATAACGAAGACTTGAATTTGTAAGGAAATATTAAGAGTACCAAAAAATTAATTTGTCAAAAGAATTTTAAAGTTGTAAAAATTCTTGTACTTTATCTGGGCTTGGATTAATTATAATCCATATGCGAAGTTAGAGTTGTACAAGAATGAATAGTTTGTGCACAATTTTTTGAAAAAACAAATAAAATTTCAATGTACAATAATAAACCTAAAACTTAGTGTACAAAAAGATTCGTGAAGATAATAATTATTGAAAATTTTTAGTATTGGCACCAACATGTAGTCTGTGACTTGCTGGTCCTTCAAACACATTCGAAGATCAAACATGTCTTCTTTTCACCCATTTCTTTTTGTTGGAGAAATTTACATCGATTACGTGCATATTATATTTACAAAAGTATACGAGTTATTTGCGTGAAATCGAAATAGGATTTGAGAAGCAAAACATAAAAGTTACCGAATTTGAATGCATAGATATTGATTCATCCCTTTCGATTCTTAAACGAAAGCAAATTATTCTTTTGATCGAACCTTGCAACATAAATATGTAACCAATGTTAATCATTTCTCGAAGAGTAATGCTATTCATAGTCGCTCACTGCGGTAGTCGCCCTATGTGGTATACACATGTCAGGTGATTATTTGATGCATTAATGTGGTAATTTTTTACTCATTAATGTATCAAATAACCACCTGCCATGTGTATGCTACGTAGGGCGACTGTCGCAGTAAACGACTGTAAATAGCATTATTCTTTTCCGAAATCAAAATATAATCAAAAAAAATCAGAAAACTGTAGGAAGAAAGATGCAAGTGATGAATTTTTAGTCGAGGCAAGTGTTTGACACTTGATTCTTAAGATGAATTTGCCCCACATCGGTGCTAACGATTTTTCGATAATCATCTCCCAAAATACAATGACCACGTCAAGCCATAGGAGCACTCAAAATGACTTCGACCAACGAACTCGAACGGAATTCCCTCTCTACCAAGGAAATATATGAAAATGCTATGGAATTTAGAAAGGAGAGAATTGCAAGAGGAGAATGAATGCTCAATGCAATTGTTGTGCCCAAAATCATGTTCATAGGACTCTATTTATAGATGTAGAAAGGGTACAAATGAAGTAGTGTGGACCAAAACATGCATTCTTTCAAAAAGTTGCAACACTTGGCCAAAACCTGCATCCTTTCGAAAAGTTGCAACACTTCATTTCTTCTAACTTTGATCCGCAATTTCTCATTCATCCGAAATTAGTTTCGAGATTCCAAATATATCACAAGTAGAATAAGTTGGTCTATTTACTTTTATAATTTGACCATCGGATTAAGTCCGAATATTTGGTCGAAGTTGACATATAATCACACCTTTTCATTTTTCACTTTTACACACCTTTTCATTTTCTAATTTTTGGTTAATTATTTGAACTAATTCCTACACTTTTGCCTCACAAAACCCTACCACCTACACTAAATGAATCCTTCGATGCTATAACAGACACATGAGGTGTTAGTAGATCATATGCAATCAAAGATGATGTTGAATGTTTTTATTTGTTTTCCACAGTCGACCTCAAACAATGATAATATTTTTTAAAGCAATGATTTGATTTTTCTCTCGATTTCAAAAGCTTTCATCTTTTTGTGGATTTTTGAAGTCAATCTTTCATAGAGATGTTTCTCGATTTGAGATTTTCTTTCAATTCTCGAAATATTCGATCTTATATATTATTTCAATCCAATCTTTTAATGAGGGGTGCTATATCAATATCAAGGTTTTTTGTTTAAAATTCCAATCAATTTTTTTTTTCATTTGTGATGAACTATTTATTGGCGATTTACGAGGAGATTGTTGTTTGTGTGAAAAACATGCATTGATTCATAGGATTTATCACACATGATTGCACATGCCATAGATATTATTCCTATCACCTATTGTCCATGTGTTGATTTTACCGCGTTCTAGACTTATTGTGAGTATTCCTATACTACAACAAACAACTTACTATCTAATTGGTGATCAAGCAATTAAATAGTTCAATGAGAATGCAAAACCAATAAAAAAACATGAAATACAAAATTAATTGTCTTGAATTAAAATAAACAAACGATATGGTTCATCATTCATCCAATATAATGAAAAACTAGTCTAGCATATTAATATATAAATTACAAGAAGAATAATAGAGAAATATCACTTGAATCATGAAAGAATACAAAAGATGTTGATCTTCACGTTCAAAGTTGAATTCTTCCAAACTTGATGTAATTGAACTTCAATTCCTTGCTATGGCTTGATTTTCTCCGTCAAAATATAGCAATTGACTCCTTGTTCTTGATGGATTTGATGAAACTATTGTATATGAAGAGGCAATAGAGAGACCCTTTCATTGCTACCCATATCTCGTATTTATATGATGAAATTAGGTCAAAATTCACATCCAAATTGTCTTCCAAAAGAATTTGAATCAAATAAGGAAAGTTGCCTTTGCGCGCACATAATTTTGTCTCTGCATAGCTTTCAGTATTTTGATCACAACTTTATCTTTCGGTGTCCGATTCAAGTGATTTAAAGTGCATTGAAAAATTAATTAAAAGATATACAATTCTTTTAGAAATACAATTTTTCCAATTCAAACGTTCTCCATCTGAAAAATAGGTCTCAATTTGACCAAAAATCTTGAAGATATCTTATATGATTGGAAGTCGATTTATGGTAATATTCTAATCATATCCCTTTCCTTTTTGACTCCAATTTGTATTCAATTGACTCCT